TATTCTCTAATTTCAACGCTGTTCTAACGGTTGTCTCTCTTATTTTGTAGACTTAGTGTTTAATGAAGCATTTGTTCGGCGCCCCCTTCCCTGTCCCACCCCCGTGTTAGTATCCACATTAAGAATGCAACTGACAGTGTATGAAAACTCATTGTTTGAAAACTCATTGTATGAAACTCATTGTATGAAAACTCATTGTATGAAAACTCATTGTATGAAAACTAATTGTGTGAAAACTCATTGTATGAAAACTCATTGTGTGAAAACTCATTGTATGAAAACTCATTGTATGAAACTCATTGTATGAAAACTCATTGTATGAAAACTCATTGTATGAAAACTCATTGTATGAAAACTAATTGTGTGAAAACTCATTGTATGAAAACTCATTGTATGAAAACTCATTGTGTGAAAACTCATTGTATGGAAAGCGATTGTACGAAAAGTTCGAAACCCGTTTCTCGACCCCGGACCCCAGGTTCACACTGCACTACAACAAACTAGGGGAATTTAAATATTTACATGTCGCCCCAGGCGCCCATATGGCCAGGGCGCCCCATGCGAGGAATTTAATGAAGGCTTAATACTATCTTAGGCTGTATTTATTGACTACCGAACTCATTGGCTCAAAGTTCGATGGGTTTGAAGGAATGAGATGAGATGAAAGTAATGACGTAAATGATGGGACTACGGCAATTTTGATTTAACAGAATTAATCAAACTTACCTTTGTTTCCACCGCCATTTCTATTTTGGGGAGCAATATTAGCAGCTCCAAATATGTCCGATTTAAATTGTCTTTGTGTTTATAACAAATTATTTTCAATGAACACAACACCTTGCTGTTACCAAATCTCTGAATTGAAGTGTCTGCTTGTATTAATTTGTCATAAAATACAACACACCTCACTGTTGTCGAATATATATGAATTTAACGTATCTATTTGTATTAACTATTTCATAATTTTAAAAACACCTTGCTTTTATCCAAATGTGTGAATGATAGAAACTATTCTTTACCAACAATTGTTGTATAACCAACAGGATACAAACAGAAACGCCATTTAAAATAAAGGTGAACTTTTTTTTTTTTGCCCTCGCGTCTTCGGGTAAAAATTTACCTGAGGTCATTAACAGTCGTCCTACTTCCTGATTTCCGCCTGGTTAATTGCTGGTGCTGGTGGTAAACAAATTGAAATGTGTCAGGATGTGGCATGTCGCTATAACTTCAAACGACGCCTACTACCATTGCAGTTGTGTGGTAAACATAATCAGATGTAACGACCATCACAAACATGGAAGTGAAAAGAAACTTATATTTTTAACTACTACCATGGAGTTGTGTGGTAAACACAATCAGATGTAACGACCATCACAAACATGGAAATGAAAAGAAACGTTTATATTTTAACTACTACCATGGAGTTGTGTGGTAAACACAATCAGATGTAACGACCATCACAAACATGGAAGTGAACAGGGACTTATATATATATATATATATATATATATATATATATATATATATATATATATATATATATATATAAAATATCGTTTGTATATTTTGTGAAAAAAGAAGAACAAACACAAACAAATATCAAGAAACTAAAAAAAACAAAAAAATAAAGATACATATATATATATATATATATATATATATATATATTTATATATATATATATATATATATATATAAACTAGCGTCTGAATATTTGGTGAAACAAGGAGAAAAAGCAATGATGAGTACCCTAATTAATATTTGTAACAAAATATGGCTGATAGGGGATTGGCCCGAATCATGGACCCAATCGCTCACCGGCACCCTCCGCAAGAAAGTTAATCTACAGCTATGCCAAAACCACCGCACCATTCGCCTGATGAGCCACCCAAGCAAGGTCATGATGCAGGTCATATTGAACCGACTAAAACCATATGCCGACAGAATCATTGCTGAAAAACAGGCGGGCTTCGGACAAGAACGGGGCACCACTACTGAGCAGTTCCTAAACCTCCGAATACTATGTCAGAAATATGCTCAATACCAACAAAACCTATACCACGTCTTTGTGGATTTCAAGAAGGCATTCAACAGGTTTTGCAATGCTGCTTTATAGGCCACCATGAGGCACTAAAACATCAACACAAACCTAACCATAATGATATGCATCCTCTATGATAAGGCCACCAGTGCAGTCTTCTTCAACAATAACATCGGAGAATTGTTCAAGATTACGGTTGGTGTATGACAACGCTGCTTGCTCTCCCTCACCCTGTCCAACTTCTTCTTGGAGAGAATGATGTCAGATGCGGATGACATAGAGAGACTGGCTGGAAACGAAGAAGACCTAACCCTAACCCAATAAAGCGTCTTGATAATACTTATTCGTCCTTTGGCTTGCTAATCAGTGCAGAAAAGACAACAGTGATGACAAATAACATCACCGGCATCACCAATTAAATTAAGGTCGGGGAGGAAAGATTAGAGCAGAAGGCAGCTTCAGTATCGGAAGAAGTCAATAGTCTCGGAAGAAGTCAATAGTCTCGAAAGAAGTCAATAGTCTCGGAAGAAGTCAATAGTCTCGGAAGAAGTCAATAGTCTCGGAAGAAGTCAATAGTCTCGGAAGAAGGCTCCAAGAACGAATTGATGTCCAGGATAGCCCAAACCACAAAAGCACTAAAGAGGCCTAAGGAATATGGAATGACAAAAATATAGCCCCCAGCATCAAAATCAGGCTGATGCGCTGATTAGTCCTCTCCATTTGCCTTGTATGCCTGTGAGTCCTGGACATTACTTGAAAGAAAAATAAAGGCGATGGAAATGAAATGTTTCAGGAGCATTTTTTTGGAATCTGCTATGGGACCATTTCTCTAACGAACAAGCCAAAGAAAGGATTCGTCAAGCAATTGGCCAGTACGATGACCTCCTGGTGACTGTAAAAAAGCGCAAACTGGAATGGTATGGTCACGTGACAAGAAAACAAGGGCTCGCCAAAGAAATCATGAAGGGCACAACGAGAGAGGGAGAAGAAGAAATCATGAAGGGCACAACGAGAGAGGGAGAAGAAGAAATCATGAAGGGCACAACGAGAGAGGGAGAAGAAGCTTTCAATTCTCGCTTTGAGAAAAAGAGTTCGCCCCGAACTTGCCGAGCCTAAGGTTCTGTGAGGAAGAGGGTGAGATGCATCATCAAGAATTCGCCCCGAACTTGCCGAGCCTAAGGTTCTGTGAGGGAGAGGGTGAGATGCATCATCAAGAATTCGCCCCGAACTTGCCGAGCCTAAGGTTCTGTGAGGGAGAGGGTGAGATGCATCATCAAGAATTCGCCCCGAACTTGCCGAGCCTAAGGTTCTGTGAGGGAGAGGGTGAGATGCATCATCAAGAATTCGCCCCGAACTTGCCGAGCCTAAGGTTCTGTGATGAAGAGGGTGAGATGCATCATCAAGAATTCGCCCCGAACTTGCCGAGCCTAAGGTTCTGTGAGGAAGAGGGTGAGATGCATCATCAAATATTTTTTTAGTTTTACAAAAAAATCTTTCTTCAAACAGTTCTTCAAGTGAATGATGTTAAGTTTGTGTTATGTTCCTAGCTTTCTTGATTAGTCGGTTTATGCGATGTTTAATATCAGACTATGAATTCCCACACTAGCAGGCAATACTGAAGTTCAACGGGCTCCCAATTGTTGCACTGTAGAATGAGTTAACGACTTGTTTACGCCGAAATTGTACAGTTTTATAAGGTAGAAAATTATTTGTTGAATTTTTTTATACAGCATTTGGCCCTGCTCATGCCATGTTAGCTTATTATTAATGGTGACACCTAAGTACTTATATGCCTCCAGTTTCTCTACACTTTGATTTGTTATGTTAAGATCTGTAATCTGGTGCTCCCCCCTCCAGAAATCAACAACCATTTCCTTTCTTTTTGAGACATTCACCTGGAGAAAATTTTCATCGCACCAATTGATAAAGCTGGTAACTAAGTTGTAGTATGGCCTTCTCACTCGGATTGGATTATGATTGGAACGGTGTCGCTTGAGCTCTGAATATCATTGGTATCAATTGTATACCGGACATTAACCTATCGTTGTATGAAAATGATCACACCCAGCTTAACCCATCATTGTATGAAAATGATCACACCCAGCTTAACCCATCATTGTATGAATATGACCACACCCAGCTTAACCCATCATTGTATGAATATGACCACACCCAGCTTAACCCATCATTGTATGAATATGACCACACCTAGCTTAACCCATCATTGTATGAATATAACCACACCCAGCTTAACCCATCATTGTATGAATATGACCACACCCAGCTGAACCCATTATTGTATGAATATGACCACACCCAGCTGAACCCATTATTGTATGATTATGACCACACCCAGCTGAACCCATTATTGTATGAATATGACCACACCCAGCTGAACCCATTATTGTATGAATATGACCACACCCAGCTGAACCCATTATTGTATGAATATGACCACACCCAGCTTAACCCGTTACTGTATGAATATGACCACACCCAGCTGAACCCATTACTGTATCAATATGACCACACCCAGCTTAACCCATTACTGTATGAATATGACCACACCCAGCTGAACTCATTATTGTATGAATATGACCACACCCAGCTTAACCCATTACTGTATGAATATGACCACACCCAGCTGAACCCATTACTGTATGAATATGACCACACCCAGCTTAACCCATTACTGTATGAATATGACCACACCCAGCTTAACCCATTACTGTATGAATATGAGTTCCATTTCATCAACATAACGCAACAACAACAGAAAATTTGGAAGTAAAACAAAAATAATTTGGAGCTACAAACAAACAAACAAACACAAAAACCTCTAACTAAAAAATGACATATCATTGGTTCTTGTTTTTTTTCCCTCTTTATTTCCGGCGAATTATCACATATATACACACCATAAGTATTTAACATCTATATGTTATGGCATTTTGAGTTCATGACATTTTAAGTTAACGGCATCTGGATTAAATGACGGGTGTTATGTACAGCTAATGACATCTGTGTGAAATGACATGTTTTTTCTATTCAATATGTCCTTAATGACATCTCTGCGATTTATTGACATGAAAGAAAAAGCCGTCAACATTGTGGTTTGAAAACAGTGCACCACTTCATCCATTGACTGTGCCATGCATTTTCACATACATTGATATGATAAGTTGAAAACAGACATTTAAAAAGAAAATTTCGTCATGGCAATGTTTCTTCGCCCGAAAGACATACTGGATGAACATAATATATGTACAGTATTTATTCACGCCTCAGGTATGTACATTAGTATCAACCTTCACATATATGGCAAGAAAATATCAACATTGGTTGAGACATTTTAAAGTATTTACAGGAATCGATGTTAAACAGTAAGTCTGATTTCTTTTTTTTTAACAGTCACATGAATGCAACATTCCTTTGTTCGAGTAACTCATCAAACATAATATTCTTCACGCAATCTCAAATCACATGACATTTTTCAATCTGATAAAACGTGACATTCTGAACACAATCTCATCAAATATGAAATTCTTCAATCTCATCAAATATGGCATTCTTCAATCTCATCAAATATGACATTCTTCAGACAATCTCAGCAAACATGACACTCTTCGGACAATCTCAGCAAATATGACACTTTTCAGACAATCTCATCACATATGACATTTGTCTGACAATCCAATCAAACATGACATTCTTCGGACAATCTCATTCTTTGTGACATTGAGACATATTTTAAACAAATGACATCCTTCCACTTGTGTTGCCTGCATTTATTGAAACTTCCATTCACTGAGTTTTTCTAAACACACACACACTGCAATAACATTCAATATTATACATCATACTGACATCAATATACATCAAACACATGTTTCAGTTCAAACATCATCCTAATATCCGTGTATATTCTGTTCAGATGTTGGCTGGTTTTGGCTGGTTCTACTGCCCTCCCTGGGGGCTGGTTCTACTGCCCTCCCTGACGAATGCAATTGTAAGGCGCCTTATTTCTCGAATTTCCACACCCGTTCACAATTTCTCGGCCGTCCAGTGAATATCTGAACCGGAAGCGGGAGCCGGCCATTTCCTGACAAATAATCTTGTCAAACCAATCGTTTTGCTCGGGTGTGAAGTAATTCATCCAATCACCAACTTGACCTGAACGTAAACAAATAAAAAAGAAAAGAGAGGACGTAACCACACCGTTGCTCAAACATGAAAAAAAAAAAAATCTGACCCTACCACGTGAACACAATGAATTCACGCTATAATGGAACGAGAATCAACCTGGGGCTCACCTTTTCTGTATATGATAGGCGTGCCATCATCATCAAGAAATGACACGGGGCCTTTTCTCTCTTTCATGCAATCGAATGACGTCATGTCCATGACCTCTCTGAGAAAGTCGTCGTCATAATTGTGACCCAGAAAAGTGGCCAATCTGCGAAGTTCTCCCATTGGATTCTGGGCGGAATACAATGTAAATTGTAGATACATGTATTACATAGACCGTGGCTTGTATGTCCTGGAAGTATGGGACGCTTCTATGTTTGTCTCTCATGTTCCAGTAATAGATGGTACGCTATACGCATATATTTTTCATACCATTTCCATACACATTATTTTTTTTTTTAAATAATAAATTTAGTTTCAAAACTTTAAAGTAAAGAAGTATTATTATATGGAAACACATTATTTTTGTCAATGATATTAGAATTTGATGTATTTTACTATTTTAAATAACTATTTAAATCTGTTGTCTATTTTCAATTATGTAACAACCTGTTGTTGTTTTTTGTTGTTTTTTGTTTTACATTAAACCTATGTAGTTATTTCAGTAAATTTGTCAAATTTTTTTTTTTTTTTTTTATAATTTAAAAAAAAAAAAAAAAAGCCGACAAAGACGGGTAACTCTGGATGCCTCATAATGCCGGCTTCCCATTGTCTCAGGTAGAGGAAAGGGTTGCCATTGTCGACTGAAAAAAAAAATGAATTTTAATGAATTTGGGGGAAAACTTAATTTTTTTGTTTGGTTTTTTGTGTGTTTCTTTTTGCTGCTGTTACATAAAAGCCACTAAATCAAAGCCACTCGAGTGGTTTGTTAACTTCCGACCACACCGACATATTCGTTTAATCACAGCACCGCAGTCGCAGTGACCCGTTAGAACGAGTGCTTAGACTTGAAGCTGCCCCATGAAGGCAAGCCACGCACCCAACCAACCCAAGCCCGCCCCTTGGAAGTCGTTTGGTCAATTACCGTTAAATGAACACACACAAAAATAGTGGTCTGAACCTGCTATGACACACACACACACACACACACACACACACACACACACACACACGCAAACACACACAAATACAGACACACTTTTCGACGTCGTTACTCCATTCTATTATCGTCCTCACCGGCGCCGTCAACGCGAACAACGAATGCTTTGTGGACGTGTGTGTGTCTACGGGTTTTCTGATGTATGTCAGCCATAACTTCTGGCCTAAAGTCACGAGCTCATATGGCGGCTGGATCGGACTGATGATGATGTTGATGATTATGATGATAGTTACGATGAAGATGATGGATGTCCGTGAAGAAGATTGCTAAATGGGAACCTCTGACTGCCGTCTCCCTTAAATAGTTGGAAGATTCTGCAGGAAGGGATCGAAACGTTCAAAAGTTTGTTTGTTTCTTTCTTTCTTTCTTTTTTAATCCTTTATATTCACCTCACTATCGTTCGTGCGATTCTGGCCGGGGGACAAAAATCTTCGAACGGCTAACTGACCCACTTCCCGTAAAACTATCGAGCTGTAACTTGGCACATAGACTCATTGACGATGAGAACACATTCTTTCAAAGTTTCCGGCCTCCCCCCCCCCACCCTTAACCCCAAAAATCAGTTTTACCTGTTTTTTCAAGGGGAAGTTGGAGGAAATAGGATGGCACTGATTTTTCGAAATAAAACTACCGTTAACTTCCCTAAATGACATTCTTTAAAAAAAAAAAATATCGCAAGTGCGTTTGGTGCGCAATACATTCGTTTGGTGCGCAATACATTCGTTTGGTGCGTAATAATTCGTTTGGTGCGCAATACATTCGTTCGGTGCGCAATACATTCGTTTGGTGCGTAATACATTCGTTTGTTTTGCTGCAGTGTAAAAGCGGGCGGGTCATTAGAATCTTAAAATAGTTCAGGGCTGTGTTGAAAAATGTGCTGTTGCGTGCCTGGGGAAGGGGAGGGGGGAGCACTAATTATGATTTTTATAAAGTGCGTTCATTGTATGCATTATTGTGTCCAATTTTCAACCCCACCCCCCCATTGCTCTAAATTACATTTTATAAAGCATTCATACGAACAACTTTGGTGTTGTTGTTTTTTGGTGGGTTTTTTTGGTGGGTTTTTTTTTTGGTGGGGGGTGGAGGGGGAGGGGTTGTTTAATTAAACACTGGACATTGTTTTTAAAAGGAAATTTTCTTTAAAAATAAGATATTAGTTCCTTGCTTGCCTTACCTTTGCCTTGTATGAGACGATTGATGTAGTTGTTGAAGTTCCCTTTGTAGTCGTAATCTTTGAACTTCCGGTGATGGTTGAAGAACGAGACGGCGACGTCCTTGGGGTTGCGGTAAAAGAAGACCGTTTTGACGCGCTTCTCGATCAGGTCACGGGGCTGGCCGTCCCAGGGCATGTGGTTGTTGAGGATCCTAGGGGAGGGGAGCGCCTCCAGGTGTTGTATGGTGTTGAACTCCATCATGTAGTCCTCCTTGTCGATGACGTCAAGGTGGGTGGAGCCCGACTGGAGGAGTCGAAGTATTTCCCAGACCCAATGGCAGCCTGACTTACGAGAGAGGTGGGAGGAGCTTATAAGTCTATTGATGTGAATGTTACGTCACATATTACCCGCCTCCCCAAAAACCACTTCTTATAAATAACCGATTGTTGAGAGGAACGTTTAAGAGTCACCATAAAAGTACATCCGGATTTACTTAATTTTGAATTGATTTTTTTTTTTTTTTTGTGGGCAAATGTCATGGATGCAAGAACTCAAGTCACGCGGTTCTCACCTGACTTGGAGTAAGAGCAAAGCATGACGTCATCCTCCCGGAGTTTCACCTCCCTCATGTTGACCAGTGATTCCTCCACGAAGTCCGAGGCCCCGTACCGGTCGTCCCCATACCTCATGAGGAGCATGGTGTCGCCACTGTCGTCTCTCACAAGCTCAACGGGCATCTATTGGGGAAACCAGTCGTATGTTGATATAATAAAGCATACTGTACACGTGGGCAAGCGTTTGTGCCAGTACGTAAGATTGTGGATGGAAGGAGGTACAGCTTTCGAGGAAAAGTGTTGATGCACCAACCTCTTGAATTGTGTTAACGAATGGGCTCGCTTTGAACTAATGTATGTTGGAAGTTGAGGACCTTTGTATATTGGAGGTTGAGGACCTTTGAATGTTGGAAGTTGAGGACCTTTTCGTTTGCAACGTTTATTAAAATGTGTAACATGTCCAAATTAAAAAAAAAAATTGTTTTTACCCCTCCAATTATTTGATTGTTTTGTTATCATTTTAAAATGAGACCTGAACATGGATTCTCCCAGGGAATCTCAAACGTGTAGGCGAAACCAAGCTTTAAACGTTTTCATTATATTTATGTTGCGGAAGCCAAGTTTATGAAAATTAAATATAATTAAATAAACCATCATATTGGGAAAATTAATTGGATAGTTTTTTTTTCCCCCCTTGACCTAACTTGTTAAAATGGATTGGATCGTTTGTAAACTTTCCAGACCTACTTTGTGCTACTTACTTGAATAGTTAATAAATTTTCTAGACCTACCTTTTTAGTTAGTCTTAAAGTTATCAGGAAGCAACGGCTATAAAAATAAGTTCTCTAATTAATATCTCAAGAGAGCGTTGCGTTGTCCAATAATCGTTTAAGTGCCAGGAAGTTGTCAGTGCCTGAATTCAAACGTTAAAGATGTTTTTATAGGCCGATTTGTCCTTACTCCAAAACCTGACCCCATTTTCTTTTTTTCCTATTTCGTAGGATACATTTATTTTAAGAACAACACAAACTATAATTTTATCACCTTTTTTTTTAAGGCATTAAATGGGTTGTTTATGTCAAGGCCAACATTTCAAGAAGAGAAAGAAAAAAAAACAAACAACAACTAGCGACTGGTGTTCTCATTTATTCCCCTCGATGACCGTTATATTTGAAACAACAAACCTGTCCGCTGACATTCCAATCATTTGCTTTAATTAATTCTCATGTTTTGGACAGTAGACATCACCAGCAGTTTAGAACCATCAACGTTAACCTGCAGTGCATCGCTTATGTGAACAAAAAATATCTTCGATGGATATCATGAAATGGCTTAGAGAATTATGAGGAGTGAATTGACTTTCCACGTATTCCATTTTTGATATTTCTTTTAGCGATTTATGAATTTTTGTGTAAATTTTGGTGATTCCCAAAGATGGTGGTTGGGGGGGGGAACCCGAATGTCATGGTTTTAACGTTTTTATGGTGATGGCAAAATTGAGAACACAGAGACAATCTGGACGTTTTTGTAGAGATACCTTGAGCAATATATGAACAAGAAAAGGTAAGCAGGCAAGATGGAGGTAGTAGGGAATCAAGGAAGTACTTGTAGGGAGTTAAAGCAGTGTTTGTACGGGATAATAGAAGTGATTGTAGGAAATGATGGTAGTGATTGTAAGAAATTAGGGTAGTGCTTGTAGGAAATTAGGGAAGTGCTTGTAGGAAATTAGGGTAGTGCTTGTAAGAAATTAGGGTAGTGCTTGTAAGAAATTTGGGTAGTGATTGTAGGGAATTAGGGTAGTGCTTGTAGGGAATTAGGGTAGTGATTCTATGGAGTTAGGGTAGTGATTGTAGGGAATTAGGGTAGTGATTGAAGGGAACTAGGGTAGTGATTGTAGTGAATTCGGGTAGTCATTGTAGTGAATTAGGGTAGTGATTGTAGTGAATTAGGGTAGTGATTGTAGGGAATTAGGGTAGTGCTTGTAGGAAATTAGGGTAGAGATTGTAAGAAATTAGGCTAGTGCTTGTAGGGAATTAGAGTAGTGCTTGTAGGAAAATAGGGTAGTGCTTGTAGGAAATTAGGGTAGTGCTTGTAGGAAATTAGGGTAGTGCTTGTAGGAAATCTGGGTATTGCTTGTAGGAAATTAGGGTAGTGCTTGTAGGAAATTAGGGTAGTGCTTGTAGGAAATTAGGGTAGTGCTTGTAGGAAATTAGGGTAGTGCTTGTAGGAAATCAGGGTAGTGCTTGTAGGGAATTAGAGTAGTGCTTGTAGGAAAATAGGGTAGTGATTGTAGGGAATTGGGGTATTGATTGTAGGGAATTAGGGTAGTGGTTGTAGGGAATTAGGGTAGTGATTGTAGGAAATTAGGGTAGTGATTGTAGGAAATTAGGGTAGTGATTGTAGGGAATTAGGGTAGTGCTTGTAGGAAATTAGGGTAGTGATTGTAGGGAATTAGGGTAGTGCTTGTAGGAAATTAGGGTAGTGATTGTAAGAAATTAGGGTAGTGCTTGTAGAGTGCTTGTAAGAAATTAGGGTAGTGATTGTAGGGATTTAGGGTAGTGATTGTAGGGAATTAGAGTAGTGATTGTAGGGAATTAGGGTAGTGATTCTATGGAGTTAGGGTAGTGATTGAAGGGAATTAGGGTAGTGATTGTAAGGAATTAGGGTAGTGATTGTAGTGAATTAGGGTAGTGATTGTAGGCAATTAGGGTAGTGCTTGTAGGAAATTAGGTTAGTGATTGTAAGAAATGAGGGTAGTGCTTGTAGGAAATTAGTGTAGTGATTGTAGGAAATTAGGGTAGTGCTTGTAAGAAATTAGGGTAGTGCTTCTAGGGAAGTAGGGTAGTGATTGTAGGAAATTAGGGCAGTGCTTGTAGGAAATTAGGGTAGTGTTTGTAGGGAATTAGGGTAGTGGTAGTAGGAAATTAGGGTAGTGCTTGTAGGGAATAATAGGCGTAGTGCAGGAAATTAGGCAAGTTTTCTTGTGAACTAAGGCGAATGAAGTGATTACGGTATTATAAGCCACCACCAAAGACGTAATATGCTTTTATAAACCACCACCAAAGATGTAACTACTTTTATAAGCCACCACCAAAGACATAGCATGCTGTTATCAGCCACCAAAAAAGACGTACCTTGCTGTTATAAGCCACCAACAAAGACGTAGCATGCTGTTTTGAATGCATCTCCTGCTTGAATCTTTTTTTTTCCTGTCTCCGTTGCCTCCTTCTCTTCATTTCATCACCAAGAATGTCTGGATCTGCACACCTTGCCGATGTGTAAGGTATCAGACCATTGCATATCAAGTTACGGTCCAATGGGTTGCCACAGACTACGTTCTATCAATTTTAAAATTTAGCGTATATTTTGTACAATATATAATGTATGCTCCATAAAAGTTGTAATGTATATTCTGTACAAGTTATAATGTACCATCTGCACAAATTATAGTGTATGTTCTGTGACAGTTAGTGTATGTTCTGAAGAACTTAGCATAAGGTATGTAAAAGCTAATGTATTCTCAACATGTAATACTATATTCTGTGCAAGATAAGTTATGTCCTGTCTATGTCAGTATATCTTCTGCCTATGTGAGAATATGTTTTGTCTATGTTCGATTATGTTCCATTTATGTTAGTATAATACGTTCTGTCCCTTTCAAGAGCAACATTTTGTTTCATTGGCAAGATCACAGGACAAAAACATCAACTAACAAGCACTAGGTAGAAGAGAACAAGACAAACTAAACACCAACTAAACAGGACTTGTTAGAAGAGAACAAGACAAATAAACACCAACTAACCAGGACTTGGCAAAAGAGAACAACAACAAAAAAAACACCAACTAACCAGGACTTGGTAGAACAGAACAAGACAAAAAACAACCAATGAACCAGGACTTGGTAGAACAGAACAAGACAAAAAAAAACAATTAAACAGGAATTTGTAGAACAGAACAAGACAAAAAACAACCAATTAACCAGGACTTGGTAGAACAGAACAAGACAAAAAACAACCAATTAACCAGGACTTGGTAGAACAGAACAAGACAAAAAACACCAACTAACCAGGACTTGGTAGAACAGAACAAAACAAAAAATAACCAACGAACCAGGACTTGGTAGAACAGAACAAGACAAAAACAACCAACTAACCAGGACTTGGTAGAACAGAACAAGACAAAAAACACCAACTAACCAGGACTTGGTAGAACAGAACAAGACAAAAAACACCAACGAACCAGGACTTGGTAGAACAGAACAAGTCAAAAACAAACAATTAACCAGGACTTGGTAGAACAGAACAAGTCAAAAACAACCAACGAACCAGGACTTGGTAGAACAGAACAAGACAAAAAACACCAACTAACCAGGACTTGGTAGATCAGAACAAGAACTTAAAGTAAGGTACAAAGTTCGTGGCACCAGAATACACAGTTTTTAAAAAAATCAGTGCAACGGCTATTTAAAAGATCAACATTAATTCTACCAACATTCACATCATCTCCATCATCAACATAATCACCATCCTCAACACCATCATCCTCATCAACACCATCGCTTATCATCTTCGTCATCACCACCATCATCACCACCATCATCACCATATTCAACATAATCTTTATCCTCAACATCATCATCACTACCATCATTATCTTCATTACCATGATCACCATCATCATCTCCACCACCATCATCATCACCATCATCAACACCGTCAACATCGTCAACATCTCACCATCAGCGCCAACATCAACATCACCACCATCATCACCACCATCATCATCATCATTAACATCATCATTCTCATCATTATCATCATCATCCCCATCATCAAAATCATCATCCTTACCATCATTACCATCATCATCTCCACCACCACCATCATTATCATCATCAAAATCATCACCATCGTCACCATTATCAATAGCATCACCATCATCATCATCATCACCATTATCATCACCACCATCATCATCACCGTCATGACCATCATCACTATTATCACCATCATCACCACCATCATTACCACCATCATTACCACCATCACCACCATCATCAGCAATACCAACATTATCACCACCATCATCACCATCATCAATGGCGCTTCAGCTGGTGGAGCTCTCTGCTTCACCAAATCATTCCATCCAGACTCGCCAATACATTAAACATGTACAACATATGCATTATATCAACAACGACACCAACATTCCCGTTTACAACAACAACATACACCACAATTATTTAGTTATTTATACATTCTTGGGGGGTAAAAATGTGACCCGAAAAGCAACCTTTCTTTCAACTTAATGTTCCGTGTATTGAGCTACATTTGACCTTCCCAGCCTTGAAGAGTTACAATTGCCCGAAGAGTGATTTCAGAGATTACGTAGGCTAAACAATTTAAAATACGCATGTTATCTTATCAGATACGAAACAAAAGATGAAAGAGAAGTTGTTTTTTTGTTGTTGTTTTTTTTTTAAATCTCTGCTTTGTTGTCATGGGCAGTTGTCACCACTCCCACTCCTAGCAGCCACTCTTGGCGTACGAGTGGTGTCAGGGACGCCAGACGGCGAAGTCAAGAACAAGGGCTAGATCAGATAACAGATGAGTGCTTCGGGTCAAGGGCATCGTCGGTACATCAGCTGTGATCGTGCTCAAGATAATTTTTTGGGGGGAGGCATGTTTGACATTTTCGGGTCATCTTCAGGTTTTGCGGTCATGTTAGGGCATGGGTTCCCTACAACAAACTAAAAAAAAAAAAAAATGGAATGACTTCAAAACCATTTTAATTTTTAACCGCTTTTAAAACGTATTAATAA